TGTTTTACTACCCTTTGTAAGTGTTTTCGTGAGCGCCGTGTAATGTAGATAAGTAATTGGTTTAGCTATGTTGGTTTTCCTACCTCACATGGCTATGTATATTTATTGCGCCCTATTTTTGGCAGTCTCCTCGATCCTTGGAATGGTTACCACAGTAAATGAGCATATTATAGAGACAACTCCAACGTCGGTGCATACTAGTTCTGCAGAGACTTCGTTTCTCCCTTTGTCATTATGCCTTACTTTGTTGAGAGACTTGGAAACATTAATTGAAGTAGTAGCTGAGCAGCTCTATGGCGAAGATAAAAAATGGAATTTGATTGCTCTTACAGAGGCTGCCAAGTAAGTGATATATTTAACTTTAACGCAGCTTATTTACTTAAACATTTGATAATTTTTTATTAAAATATAACAATTTGTTTTGAATGGATGCCAGGGTGTGCGTGAGACTGGCTGCTTTCAGAACTACAGGATATAAAATGCTTTTGCAAGGTGGGGAGACTGAGAATTTGGAACATTCAGATGATTTGAGTCCCCAAGGAAACATGGGGCACTTAAGGAAGCCTATCCAAAATCAAGGACTGGGTGTCAATCACCCTCAGGGTTTGAACTCGTGGAATCTTGAGGGTAGGGCAATGTCTGCCTTGAGTAGCTTTGGTCAGAATGCTAGGATGGTTTCTGAGCCGACTTGGTTGCACAGGGTTCAACAGCAGCAAGCAATTTTGGAACCTCCAGGTAATTGCTGGTTTCAGTTAAATTCAAACTACTTCTGATGATGACGCCATAATTTTCTAATATGTTAGCTTCCTTATATTATTACAGCTAAGATAATCAGAACTCCGAGTCTGTCAACCTTCTTATCTGAGAAGGGTATTCGTGGAGGGTTATTTGTGACTGGGGAGACTATGTTTGTCCTAAGACCACTTATATATGTCTTGCTGGTAAGGAAGTATGGAACACAATCATGGTTTCCTTGGTTCATCTCCTTGGCTGTGGATCTCATAGGAAACAGCATGCTATCAGCCACAACAATGTCCCAAGACAGCAGGAAAGATCAGCATTTTCAATTTTCTAGATCAGAGAAGGATGAGGTAAGAAATATTATAGATCATTGCACAGAATCTTTGTATATATATACCCCCCACCTCACCCCAAATAAAAGAAGGCCTCTATCCCCTCGAAAAGGAAAAGTAAGATGTGTTCCGGTTACCCAATCTCATATTAAGCATTCTGCATTGTTGCTTCAGACACATTTCTTTCAATGGTAGATGGAACAGCGTGTTATTTGGTGTCTCTCACTCTGTCTTGACTGTCCTGGAAATCACAGTTCTTGAACCAATCTGCAGCAAATCTTATGTTTTTGATATGGCAAATACCCCACCTCCCTGGGGGCTAAACGTGTCTTTTTCCCAGTCCCCCCTTGGTGATTCGTACTTCCAGCCTGAGGAGGAGAGCCCTTTCCACTAGGAATCCTTCACTTATCAATCTGTGTTTCTTATTTTGTCTTGGGGAAACTGCAGATTCTCATTCCAATTCTTACTTGCTTTCACACCCTTTATTCCATTTCAAGATCCAACTGATTTGTTCAATAGCTTTTGAGTTTATCTATTGCAGCAATATAACTTTCTTCATTAAATGATATGTTTTACTCCAAACACTGCAGTTAAAAAGAAGGAAGCTGTTGTGGGTGCTTTACCTCATGCGAGATCCATTTTTCTCCAAATACACCCGGTAAAGATACTCTTTTCCTTTAATTTCTTGTTAATTGCTTCATATAAGAAAACAGCAGAAAAGATAACCAAATGGGGATCAAAGCAAATGCTAACGCCTTAAAATTATTTCAGGCGAAGACTTGAAAGCACTCAAAAGACTGTAGAACCTGTTCCTATAGTTGGATTTTTTGCAGGTATTTTTAATGCACTTTCCTACCAAGTTTCAAAAGTTGATTCATTTGACATCGTTGAAGTAAAAATTGACATTATCCTTCTTGACAAAAATGTTTTTTCCTTGATCATGTGCAGAAAAACTTATTGAACTCCTTATTGGAGCCCAGACTAGATACACTTACATGTCTGGTTCTTGAAGGGAAGCTACTGAATGTGTGTTTATGCATTCTTTGTTATTTGACAATGGGGAACAAACTTCTCTTTTTTTCTTCAGTTGTAGCATTTTGATATCATAATCTTAAAAAGGTGTAGCATGTTGAAATTTAGAACTAATAAAGGTGTATAATTTTGTTCTTATCCACAAGTGCATTGAGGTTCCATGCTGCATCAGCTGTGCGGACTCTTCACTTTTGATGTCGTACTCCTTCGGATTCTCCAAATATATATACTTTTTTTGATGTCGTACTCCTTCGGATTATCCAAATATATATACTTTTGGAGAATCTGACACACACTATTTGACAGATTTGAAGAGTTAGAGCAACATAGGCAGCCTGCATCAGATGGAGCAGCAATTAAATGCTATTGCTGGCTGTCTATTTAAAAAGGATTTAAATTACGGAAAAGGGTTAAATATACCCCTGCACTATAGGAAATAGTTTAAATATACCATTCGTTATACTTTTGGGCTAAATATACCCCTCCCATTATACTTTGGGCCAAATATACCCTTTATTCGTTAAATATGTGGGTTCTATTCCTAGAATAAACATGGGAAAGGTTGAGATCAAGTTTAAAAAATCATATCACTTTTATCCGGTTAATACCCAAATAAACTCACTAATATACTTTCCTGCTAAATCCATCTATAAGTCAAACAAAATCAAAACGAAATTGTCAACTGATTAGCTTCAACTGATACATGAAGACTCATTTTATAACTACTGTTCCCATTTTTTTTCTCTAAAATACAGAACATTAAAAAAAAATTGCGTGTTATATTGTTCTTGTTGAGTTTATCATCTGAGTTCAATGGTGAAGTTTTTGAAATTTCAATTAAGGTGGTGCTTGAAACTCCATTGATTTGGATTGATGTGCTAAAATTAGAATGCACATTAGGTGGAGAAGTTGAAAACAAAGTTGTTGAATTTTTGCCTTTCGAATTTGTGGCCGATGAACTTTTAAAGTTTGTGATTGAAAGTTGTTATAAATCAACCGAGTATTGAAAATTATTGTTATTGAAGTGATCAAAACTGATTTGAAGAAAACAACTTTTACATTACTCCATTGTTGAGATTTGAAGCTTTGTTGGGGTTGGGCTATGGGTTATTTTTTTTGTTGGCAGGGACAGAAATTATTTGGGTCCTTTTAATTAATCTCAAACCCTTTATGTAATTACGTATTTTGGGTATTAACCAAATAAAAATGATCTGGGTTTTTAAAATTAATCACAACCTTTCACATGTTTATTCTAAGGTTGGGATCCATATATTTAATGGATAAATGGTATATTTGGCCCAAAGTATAACGGGAGGGGTATATTTGGCCCAAAAGTATAACGAATGGTATATATAAACTATTTCTTATAGTACAGGGGTATATTTGAACCTTTTCCATTTAAATTATATAGACGGAAGTCTGATGAATATATCTATACTAGCATTAGTAACTTGCATTATTTTTTAGTTTAATTTCATTTAATATAGATGGGGTAATCCATAATTATCTTTTAATTAGTTGATGTGGAAACGACTCATAAATTAGAGAGTGAAAAAAAAGGAGTTATGCTTGAAACATACTATATTTGAATCATAAAACAATTTAATGAAACTTTTTTTCACTGGAATCCTTGGTGAATAGTTGAAAATTTTGACAGTAATTTTTGAGCGTGAAGACCGACTCTATGATGTGAGGAAGTAACTAAAACTAAAAGGTAACTAGATTTTATTGCTGGTAAAATTTGTCCTCACCTATGATTAATTAACCCTTTGGTTTTAGTTTGCGGATTAAATTATTTCAAAGTAAGATTTTTCATCACGAATCTGGATTATGATGCTTTATCACCTAAAATATGACTTTTTAGTGAAAATTCATATTAATTAAGCATCAAAACAAATATCAAACACGGGAATGGGCAAAATATGCATGATAATATAATTTGCGTCTTTTTTCAAATACTCATATAACTGTTTTACCCTTTTAAATCTGTTGTTAGATATTTATATCATTTGGCTAAAGTGGTGTACAATAACAGGTGCATGCCATAGCTAATTTGAATGCAAATTAAAAAAAATAAAGCAAGGAACATGTTAAAATCGATTAAACATAATGATAGTATAAAGATTACTTAATTAAGCGTGGCTTAGCTAAGTTAGGAGTGGGCTACAAGTACAGTTTGGGACCATATAGTAGAGGGGTTAAGTCCCCCACTCTAACTCTCCTATATATGATGGAGTTTGGTCTTGTAGGTGAGCCATACCCAACTACAAGTCCTATTAGATGTTGGTGGCATTCTTTTTTGTTTTGTTTCGTTTTAGATTTGCTTTTTGTAGAAGATGGAATTTGATGTAAATATCGAGTATGAATAAATGCACACTTGGTTGATTTCCTAGACCAACTTGGTTAAGTTTCAAAACTGAAGTGATAGAAACCTATCAACAAGAAGTTTCATATCTTTAAAAATTTTGAGTGTGAGATCAGAAGTTACAATGTAATTGATTCATAGATTTAACTTAATCTTATCTTAGTTAATTAGAGGTTAAGATGATGGACCACTCTCATCACATTAAAGTACTAGATTGGTCCATCACCTACAAACCATTACTACTATATAACCCCACTCCCTGCTCTACTTCTTAGCCCCTTATCAACTAGACTAGAGATGGCACCTAATTAACTAGGGCCTAATTTGTTTTATAGGAAAAAAACTCAAATATGTCAGGAAACTTTGAGAAAATGCTCATTTATATTGTTCGTTAAATATTTGACTCATCTATGCTATTTTCGTTTGAAAAAAAGTTATCCCATTTATTGGTGTTCCGTTCTCATTCTATTTATAAGGTAAGCTGCGCAAACAGTCCACAGCGCATCACTATAACACATTGCGTATCTCTAATGGAATCTAAAAACATTAAGTCCTTCACGGCAGCGCCATCGTCTGCGTGGCGGCGACAGGTGGCTCCACCATTGATATCTCCCAAGCAAGAGCCTCATGACATGGCTGAGAAATCACCGGCTCCATCCATTATCAAAGTCACACTACCAACCCCAAAACCGAGACCGTCGGTACCACCACCACCACAGCTTCCACCGCGTGGAAATGATGCGGATCGGCCTACGAAGGTAGACGGAGGAGGGCGGAGGATAAGAATACCGGCAACATGCGCCGCCAGAGTCTTCCAGCTTACTCGTGAACTCGGTCACAAAAACGACGGTGAAACTATTCAGTGGCTCTTAGAACGTGCTGAACCGTCCATCATCTCCGCCACTGGCACTGGCGTTACCGCCGTCTCAATTAACGGCACCACCAAAATCCCCACCACTGAAAATAATGACACTTTAACAGGCAAACGCAAACGTTGTGATTGTGGTAACGTTAAATTTATCGACGTTAAACAAAGAAATAATCATGCAATTCGGGAAAATGAAGCAAAATTACCGAACAATACGGCAACAATTTTAGCTCCGGTGATGTCGATAGTATCACCTCAGACAATAATGCCAGTGGGATCAATGTTTTCCGTTCCGGCGAGAATAAACTCGAGTATGGCAGCACCGTCAATGGTTTGGTTAATTCAGCAAACACCATTGATACCATCATCAAGGCAAAGTGCAGCTCAGGTGAATTGTGTTAGTGTTAGGCCAGCAGCTACTTTCTTGGGTGTTCCAAGTGCGTCACTCATTCCTGCTTCTGCTACCAATGTCTCCTCCTCCTCCTACTCGTTCGGTCATTGTTGATCGCGCTGAATCAACAACAATATACCAGTATAGTTTCACAAGTGAGATTTCGAGAGTCTAGAATGATCGCGCCAAATTCACTGTTCATTATTGGCCACACTGGAATTTAATGCTAATGATCACTTTATTCAACTGCCAGTACAACTCTTCTTCCATGATAAGTGTTGCTTTAAAATTTCCTCAGATTAATAGTTCAATCTATGACCAAAATTCACAAATTGTAGCTAGTACAGATTCTCAAAATCATCTAAAAATTTTAAAAAACGAACTGTACAACTTCTACTATACTCAACGCAATCACCATCTTCCTCTGCCTAACTGCTAACTGTATTGAATAGATTGAAAACTGCTGGAGATACCCCAATCAGGGATGTATAGTTTTTTCTGGGTTCAAAAATCTGAACGGGTGATATAAAGAGAGGAAAAAAAAAGGGAAATCAAATGGTAAGATTTTCTTGAATTGCCAGGAATGATCCTATTATGTTTCCACCAACATCTGGGAAATTTGCACATCCCGTAAGATTCTTCACCTTACCTTTGCGATCAACTTCAACGGGGTATTTTAAGAGGTGCCCTCTCATTTCTGTTACTTCATCAGATGCAAATTGCTTCCAGTTATATTCACCCATGGACCTAACCCGTCTTACACATTCTAATGACTCCGGCTGTCTGAAGCAATCCTCAACAACTCCAAGATGCTCCGCCCACAGAGACATTCTATATCCATGAATCTGCAGAAGATAAATTTGCACCAACGACAGTAAACGGATCAGATACACACACACACACAAAAAAAAAAAGTCTTTAAGCTTCCTAGAATACATACAATATTAGCTAGCACACACATCAAAAAAGTATCATATGATGTTTAAGTAATATTTTTCCTGGAATGATAATGTAACCAAATTATTCAGCACAAATATTGAATTTGCTAATCACCTGTCCATAGGGTGTTGACTGTTTTCTTGCCCATGTATGATGAGGTTGATATGCTCCCATTGCGATCTCAGTGTCTCTAGTGCCCTCCAGAGAGCGCTGGTTGATGTTTGCAGATCCCAATATCACATACTCATCATCCACAATCATGCCTTTAGAATGAACATAAATCATGAATCTACGGGATTTTCGGCTGAACGCCTGCAACAACATATTCAAATCATTAACTCTGACACTGATCAATAGTATGCAGTGCACGACAGGTCGAGGGCACAGTTTTAGGAGGAAACTTGCCAGAGAGCTAGTAACTTCAAAAAAAAAAAAAAAAACATCTTGCAATGGCCAATTAGGAAAAAGAAAAGAGAATTTTAATAAAATTAAAATAAAGAGAAACTTCAACAAATAGGTAAGTGGACTAACTGTCAAGACATAAATAGAATTTTTCAGATTCTTTATTTAGGATAATGGAGGTCATTGCAAGTACCTGAGGAGTGTTTGCTGCGCTAGGACTCTCATTTCCCTCAACTTTACCAGCCTCACGGTTACCAAGACAGTAGAAGTTCAAATAATCTTCCGGAGAGTATGAATTCTGAAGCCCAACCTCCTCTAAAGCCTTGTAAATAGTCTCATACATCATTTGCATTGTCTTGTTCTGCAAACCAACATAGAGACATGGGGTTTCACTAACACAACTTGTAATAATTTGAGAGCAGCTGATTATTCAATAAGCTGAATGCATATGCTATCTTCCTTAGTATGGCACAATTCCTCAAGCAATTTAAACTTTAAGTAGCTTTACCTGCCAATATAGTATTCTCTGTGTAGCAGCCCCAGTTGGATTACCCTCTGGCCACATTGGGAGGACAATGTATGCTGCAAACCTCTCATGTGCTCTTATCTTTTCAGCTATTTTAAGTGCAATTTCCATGGGAATCAGATTATTTGCACCTGCAGGCAGCACACAGGTAATTCAAATATTGGAATTGCTGACTACCAGAAGATAACTATTTTACTTTCCAAGATATGTAAAACTGTTAAAAGGCAGACTCATTTTGCCAAATAAAGATGCACCATTAGTGTTGGACTAGTGGAATACCACTTTTTCTTTATGACCAACAAATCCGTCTGGGTCCTACTCTTAGGACCAACCGCAACCTTCGAAACTCGGGGACAATGGGCCCGCCTCTCTGCGCTTCTCCACTTAAACACCACGCTTAGTTCATATGATGCAAGGCCTCTTACCCTCTTGACACTGCAACACCCCCCCAAACCCAACACACACACACCAAAAAAAAAGGAATATGCCTCTTACCCTGTTTTCATTACTGAAATACCTTCTGAGTTATCTCTCCAGAAAATATTCACTTCCCGGTCTTTTAGGATTATGCTCAAAATGCTACTCCCCTCGTACCAATTTATGTGGTGTTGTTTGACTAGATATGGAGTTAAAGAAATATGGAAAGACTTAGCGATATTCCAAAACTACCCTTATAATAAATGAATTTTTAAATAGAAGAGTACATCTTTTTTGGAATTTTTGCCAAATAAGTGGGACCCAATATGGGTAAAATGTTGATAGTGTCATTAAACATGTGTCAAATTAGGAAATGTGTCATTCTTTTAAGGGCTGACTAAAAAGGAAAGTGTGTTAGAGGGAGTAAGTAATATCCTTATATATATGTTTTTTTTTTTATAATATCCTTATATATATGTTGAGCGGAGCTTAAATTGGTTTTGATAAATAAACAAACAACTACAAAAGAACCAGGTCTCTTGGAGTGAGTTATTGGTTATGTTGTTAACTGGATTCCAGGAATGCTACGTAGATATCGTAAGAACAAAGTTTTTAGAAGACTGCTGATCAGAAGCTGCAAAGCTGATTCCTATTGCAAGTTGGATTCTTGAAGAATTAGGTTCATGGGCTACACACGTTGCATCAAGGAATTCGTGAAAAACAAGAAAATGTTGATACATTTGCACAAAAGGAAAGAAATTAAGAAATAGGAGAAAACATGTGGAGGTCAAAGCAAATGAGGCAACCAAGTCCAAGTAGGATTGGATTCCTTAACCAAAATACTTTTGGTTTTGAAGAATAAAGTATAAGAGAATTCGACCAACCTCACTCCTATATAAAGCACCATATTGTGGTTGTTGGAGGCTAGTTCTATTTCGCACAAATACAATTATTACTCTTGATAAATAGCAGTCATTGCAAGAAGGTGTTGATTCAAGCTACTCAACAAAAGAACCTGTTCCAGAAGAATAAGTTGTTTAGTTCTTGAGTTGGTTAGGCTTGAGTGTTTGGTTCTAAATTGTAACCTATTTTGCTTTTCAGAAGTATTATTGTAGATGATCAATTGTGAAGTTCATTCGTTCCTAGAGTAGACTAGGAGATAGTATTGAAATGGATTGCTACAATTGGGTTGATTGTAGGGGACCATAAGGAACTTGTGGATGGCTCTCAAAAGCAGCTCAAAGATTATTGTGGGCAGAGGAGATAAAACCAAGTTCTGGACAGATGAGGGGTGTGGCAATGGGATTCTAAGGGACCTGGTCTTTTCCCAATATGCACAAACCCTGATGGCAGATTAGAGGAGATGTGGTTTCCACAAGGTTGGAACCTAGTATTCAGAAGGTTGATTAATGATTGGGAGATTGATAGAGTGGTGGAGTTCTTGAGCTTTGATCGGTGGATTTCATGGTACTACTCTAGAGCCAGACAAATTAGCATGGAGACATCACAATGATGGGATGTTTTCTGTGAACAGACTATACAATTGGGGACTTAGAGGAAGTGCAGGAAGAGAGGCATCAACTTAGGATCTAGATGCCTCCTTTGTGAAGAGGCTCTGGAGACTAACAAGCACCTATTCATGCACTGTAAGGTTACTGCTCAGGTGTGGGCTCTGTTTACTAACATAGTCAATGAATACTGGAATGCCAGAACACACTTCTGACCTCCTAAGTTGTTGGATCAAAAGAGGAGGCAGTAGAAGTCAGAAAAGATGGTGAAGAACAGTTCCAGCATGTATTTGATGGACTGTATGGAAGGAAAGGAATCAAAGAATTTTTTAAGGAAAGGAGTGTACAATACAGAAGATCAAATGGAAAGTAATTACTACTCCAGGCTTTTGGTGTAAAGAACAAGATATAGATGATGAGATCCAATTAGTGGACTTCATAGGATCTAAGTATTTTTGTATTTTCTTTTCTTGTAATCATCTTTTGGAGGTGGCCAACATACCTTAATGCTGAGGAATACAAAAAGTTACCAGTTCAAAAAAAAAGGTACTAGAGTTTATAGTCCCTTTGATTATAGAATTGTAACCTAAAACCGCTCCTGAAGTCAATGATGTTTTGAGGTAAATCCTACAAGTGTAGGTCGTGTTTCATTACTCCCTTGAGTAAGGAGTTCTCCACATAGAACTACTTGTGCACTTTAATTTCCACACTTCACGTTCTGTTTGTGTCTAGTTTTCTTACGTTTAACTTGCAAAAATTGGGCAAGACACAATTTACCCCCTCTTGGGTCTAGGTGTATTGGTAAAATAACAATAGGAAAGATAAATTTCCCTAATAGAGTACCAAGGAGGTACTCCAAAAAGGAGTTACAACATTGCTTGTTACAATTACACTCCCTCAAAGTCAAGAAAATCAAAATAATGAGACATACTATCTATCATATAACTCCTACACCAAAAGTATGGAATCTGTAGGCATCTATATTCTTTAGGGGAAAAAATTATGTTTTTGATCTGCAAAGCATCTCTTATTCCTCTCTGACTAAATAGTCGTTTTGCATATCTGTATCCATCTTCTATTCATTTTTGGAGTCTGCCAGCATTACACGACACCTCCAATATTTTGTGGCATCACCCAATGCACCCCGCAAATGCTTTGGTTTAAGTCTCAAATGCTAAGTTATATCCTTATGTGTGACTTTCAGTTAGATAAGGGGAAGCCGAAATTCAATTTAACATGTCAATCTATCAGATCTAATCTCGCAAGTATAAGAATTTTTGTTTCATTTCCAACCCTTCCAAGCCCGACATAATAAAGAAGAC